CCACCATGAGGGAGTAATGGGTAATGACTGATGTGGCTTCTTCAGGCTGAAGGGAGTTATAGGTGTTGATTAGCAGTCAGAGATACTCCACAGAGGGCCTGTCTAAAGGCCCTCAATAAACACCAGGCATTTTATCTTGCATAAGTGTACAACTTTAAGTCTGGGAGAGACAAAGGCAAAGAAACGATTAAGTAGATATGGGCCAAATCATAGAATCAACAGGATAACTATGAGTACAGTCAACGAAGATTTTCACCAAGAGGAGCTGCCATGAGGATAAGGGTAAGGTCCAGGGAACTTTAGAATCTGACACGTCATTGATTTCTCATCTAATATCTTGAACAGTTATTGAGATATTAGCAGAGGATCAAGAACGTGCACACAGCATTTAGTTTTTACAATTCATATGTGTCTGATACTATCAAACTCTGACTTCTATTATCACCCTGGGATGCAGAGGGGAGAAAGAGTGAGTGAACATGCTGGCACTCGCATCACAAATTTTAAGTGGCTTCCAGGTAAAAATTGCTCCACATCTAAGCACAGCTTTTCTCCAGAACTGGAAGTGGAAAAAGTTGAAGAAAAACAAAATTGAAAGAAAAACAGAAGCTGTGCACACCAAGTGTCAATACGTCTAGGCTTGATTCTGTGCGTGCACGCGTGTGTGAGTGTGTGTGCGTGTGTGTGTGTGTGTGTGTGTGTGTGTGACTAGACATTGAACTCACGTCTTTCACAATAAGCTATGTTCCCAACCCTTTACTGCTTCTTTATTCTGAGACAGAATTTTGCTAATTTGCCAAGGCTGGGTTCAAACTTGCTTTCTTCCTGCTTTGTCCTCCCAGAGTGCTAAGATTACAGATGTGTATCGCCGTGTCTATCCTGGTGCTGGGCTCTATTCACATGCAAAGATCTATTTGTAGCCTGTGTGGGCTTGGACTTGAGATACGCATCTGTCGTTTGAGTGTGTGTGACATTCTTCCATTCTGATACCTCTAGGTACCGTTTCTTAGAACTCAGTTCTGCATGTCTGACTGGTCCCACACCTTCAGCACAAACAAGTTACTCAGAATGAGTTTCACCTTAAGTAAGGAGAAAGCCAAAGTGGATGTTCACTGAAAACTGGGTCTTTCTATTGATCTGTAAGTCACTTGACATTTCTTATTCTTACCGAAGGGGATCCTTAGGAACAAAGAGAAAGTCCTCTTTTTTTCTTTCTTTTTCTTTCTTTCTTGTTTTTGGTCTCTTTATGGTATGTGTTCCCTGAGGTTTGTTTTCTGGGTTCCAAGAAAAGAGAAAAGCTATTTTTCTGAGTACCATTTATTTTACAGAGGATAAATACAGAAGTGTTCAAGTGATGCAGTTGGAAGATCTAAGATGAATACTATTTCCCCTAATTAGTAACTGTGTAAAATAGAAGAGACCCTAACCCTCTGTAAATCTCAGTCAAACTGGAGCTTGGGCATAGCTGAGCCACAGGAAGGGAAGGGAATAGGCAGCACATGTGGAGTGTGACCGTAGCCTGCACTCAGTGCCCGCTCAGGAAAGGTGGGCTGCTCTGCTTCACGCTATCCTCACTGGCATCCTCTGCGTGGCAGCGGCTGCCCAGACTCCTCCCTTCAATGATGTTTTCTTTTGGTGAAGGTTTTTATTGTTTAGCCTGGAAAACATTGCTGTACATTAACCCACATTGAACCAGACAAGCTGGAAGCCAAAAAGGGAAGGGCTTGGCTCTGCAAGTCTCCTTTGACTATGTCATTTCCTTGCTTCCTGGCATGAAAGTGCTGGATAAAACCGAGGTCAGAGAGGTGGAAACACCTGAGCAAGATGCCTGCATCACCTCGTCACTGCTATGATAACTTTCACCTGCCCAGAGCCCACTTTGTTCAAGTCCTTTGCAATTCATTCCAGGGTTTGTGCCTGGGTGAGCCTGTGTGCTGGCTCTGACCTTCCTGTGATGTGTAGAAGTTCATTGGCTTCCTTCATTTGACAGTTGATTTGGATGCAGGCTCTCAGTTTGGTTGGATAGTAGTCATTTAGCTCTCCTTGCTCCCCAAAGGGCTCTCTTTCTCATTCTTTTTACGTTAACAGGGTCAGGCAAGGAAACCAAAAAGTTCTACCACCATGGCACAACTCTTTACTGAATACTAAGGAACTTGGTTGCTAATTCTGTACCCTCCCAATCAGAGTCTTTAGGGTGCATCAAGGGGTTCGCCATGCATCAGCAGCATCAGTGTGTATCTGGGGCTGTGTGGGTCATGGCGGGTAACTGCTGGAAGGTGTGTGTAGATACACTGGGCCTGAGTTGGGAGTAGCTGACATGGGAATACAAAACTGGATCTCAGATATGCACTGTATAAGTATCATCATCAAACATTTATAGAAGCCTTAATCATCTCAAAGCACTGAGATAAAGGAAAGAATTATATGTGGTCCCTGGATCTTGAGATTTATTGTGATTACTATCGGGAGAGGAGATGTACTATATTAGAAATTAGCAAGAGGAGGTAATGATTCTTTAGAAGTTTAAACAAAGGATTCACCAAAGTCCTGTGGGATTCTAGAAGACTACAGGGATAAAGCAAAATTTTAACTAGACTTTGAAAGAAAAGTGGGAATCAGATAAGCAGTGTAGCAGAGTAATCTCTGGATGGGGCGCTTGGAACCTAAATACATTGTATGGCTGAAATGTCGGTCAAAATTCTTTTGGTTGTCAATGGCTGAAACCCAGCTAAAAGTTCAAATGAAACTAAAATGACACAAATAGCAGTTCAAAATATGGTGCCAACGTCAGGTCTCCTACTATATCGTCAGAACACTATCACCTTCCATAGTTCAGCTCTTTTCCACACTAGCTTTTTTTCTAGGTAAGCAGTCTCCATAAACAGGACTGTCTAAGGATTCAGAATCAAATTCTATCAGTACAAGCTACACCCTTTTCCCCAGCAGTGCAGCAAAACTTCCTGGATTCTCATGCTTTATAAATGCATCAGTGTGGCCAATGACATAGCAATTTCTGACAGGCAGAGCTGCATCCCATGCTCATTTCCAGGGCCAGGCAGTGGGACTAGGCCAACCCACTTCTTCTGAACCAACAGTGGGACAGGTGGTCCCTTAAAGGAAAGCAGGATTCTGTCACCAGAAGGAAGAAATGGATTCTGAGTGGACAAAAACAACAGAGGTCCACCATCATATCTTCCACTAGCGACCATTGGAAATAGCTCATACTAACTCCTTTTTGGAGATGCATTATGTCTTTATACAAATTCTTGAGGTTCCTCATCAAACCCTCAATATTAGACTCTAAATCTTAGCCACTAGGAATCTATTCTACTTTTCATTAATAGGATCGATTTGGATATTAATTCAAGACCTTGAGAAATGAATAAGAGCAAATCCTCAGTCATTTAGAGTGAACAGTGAACTATTTCTCTTCAGCAATCAAACGTTATTTGACCAAGTTATTGAGATATAGCAACACTATAGAATTCATGCCTTTTCCTAGTGAAGAAACCCTACCCTTCAGTGTGAACTTAAGAGTTCAGCTCAGGGGAATGTTTAATTCACCAGAAAATGAGAATTTAAATATGTTTGGAGTATTTTTATTTCCAAGGATGAGAGTAACCAAGGTCATGGCTCTCTCCACCCAAGAAACAATGTCATTGTTCTATTATTCCTTAATAGACCAACACTCAGGATCAAGATAAATTTGCAAATGAGCTGAATTGTGCTCACAAATTGGGACTTGGCAAATGTATTCGGCAGGCAATGAGCCGTGTTCTTTTTCATCCTGAAAGCTTGGCAATGAAAGTTGCCTACCGCTCTCCTCAGCATCTGCATCATTAGGGATTTGGAAACCAGGCAAATGCACTAGTCTGTTGTTTTAACCTGCAAGGCAATTTGTTCCTCTAGATAGCGCACACAAGCCTTTAGTTGAAGTAAATGTGTCTCGTAAATTCCACCCGTCTTCAGAGTTGAAAGGAACCTTATGTTCATTTTGTATTTTTTTGCGTTTAATCTTTATTTTTTTCATGGGCTATTTTAAAGTCTGTACCATTGAGATGAGCCAGATACAATGCTCTAGAGAAGCAAATATTAGAAAAAATTATTCTAATGTTCATCCGGATCCAAAGCCATATGCTATGATTTGAATGTCATTCATCCCCATCAAAACTGTTGTTGGCTTTTTTCCCTAATATAGGAGGATTGAAATATGGGGTCTGTAAGAGGTGTTTAGGGCCTCGTGGGCCCTCTCCCTTCCCGAGCAGATCAGTATGGTTTCACAGAAGTTCTCTTTTGTGGGACTGGATGAGTTAAGTGAGTGAGTTGTCATAAATCACGTTCAGTCTCTCAGCTTTCTTCTACTGCTTTTCTCTAAGCTCATGCTTAGCTTTCTCACTCAGGTTCTCCAGCATGGAGTGATCTGGAATCACAACATGAGGCTTTGCCATATGTGACCTTCTGGTCTTGAACTTCCTTGCCTCCGGAACTGTCAAGTTAAATAAATCCTTTCCTTGTTATCTACTCAGTCTCAGGCATTCTACTATAGCAGCAGAAAATGGAGTAAAACATCATTCCTCCAGGAAACTAACAAATTTTAGTTTCTTAAGCTAACCTAAGACTTTAATAAGGCATTTTTAAATTTACCCTTTTATTTACATTCTTCTTTAAAGCACATGCATGTAATGTTAGCATTAGGGAGGCTGAGACAGGACAATCCCTGCAAGTTTTAGGCTGTATTCTGAGTTCAAAAGCAGCCTGCATACATAGCAAGACTCTGTCTCAGAAAACCAAAAGAAAATAAGAAGCTATTATTTATCATAGATAGAAGTAAAATTTTCCCTTTGTCTTCCCCACGCCTAATTCCCAACCCTGGTAAGAGTGTGTCCTTCCCCATACACACATCCTGCTATACACACATTTACAGAAACTTAAGAACATTATATAATGAATATTTCTGTTGCCAAATTTAAGAGATTAAAAGAGGCCAGTGGAAAGCAGGAGGATTTTATTAAGTGTACACCTGGTTCAGGGGACTTGAATGGGTCCATGGTGGCTGGGTGCTGGGCTGAGTACTCCAGCTTTTACACATTTGGTCATCGAGGTTGGTCTGTGGCAGGGAACTTAAGGGCGCACAGAAGGAGAACAAAGACAGTCCGTCAAGCTATGACAGTTTTGAATCTTGGTGACCCTGTTCAAACATAACAGGATGTTATGGGTACAGAAAGTTATAAAATTTTACTTATAGGTATGAAAGTTACTGTTTTTATCTGTATTAGAACAAAGAACAACAATTATAGGGAGGGGGAAGTTTGGGAAACAACTTTAAAAAAATCCTGCTCCATTTCCATAACTGACTGTATTAAACACATCTATCTACACCCTGCTTTTAAAAATTCAATGCTATTTCTCATAGGTCTGTTGACATTTTTGCATATATATCTAATTAGTTCTCAGTTATGGACACAAAGGTTGTTTCTGTTTTTTTCCCTATGTTTGGACATGCCTTCTAGTCTCTGTGATTACATTATTCTGCAGATATGTATCAGTCACTTTCCTCGTCACTGAGATACAATATCTGTTACCACAAATTAAAGAAGGGGCAGTTTAGTTTGGTTCATGTTTTAATCCATAGTGGGATGACTCCAAGACAGGAAGGCATGGCAGAAGAAAAGCCATTCACGTTAAGGCAGCTGAAAAGCAGACTCAAGGAAAGAGCCAGGAAAGGAAATACATGCTTTCAGGTCAGGCCTACTATGCCCCACCCCTTCCAACCAGAACTTACCTTCTCATGGCAAGTCAGCCGATGCCACCATAATTCACCTTCTAAAAGCTCCACCTCTGAGCATATGATGCCTTTGGGGGATATCTAATTATAAACCATAGTGAGGCAGACATTAAAAAGTGGAACGTCTAACTTCTAGGGAGTATTCTTTTTTTTGTTTTTTGTTTTTTGGGTTTTTTTTTTGTCTTTTTCCTTTTTATCGGTACCAGGATCGAACTCACGACTGCCTGCTTGCAGGGCAGGTGCTTATGCCGCTGAGCTAAATCTCCAGCCCCAGGAGTGTTCTTTTTAATAGGTATTAGTAAACATCCATACATAGAAATTATAAATATATTTTCCACCACTAATATTGACATTTTACATTTTTTGCTGCTCAAATATATACAGAGTCCACCAAAAATGTATTTACACCTCAGGGAAAGAAAAACTTGTATAAGTAGTTTAATACTAAATTTGTTGAGTTGTCATGAGATTAATACTAGCTACCCTGGCCTTCACAGGTGCTCGGAGTGGTGGTCGTTTACTTCTGGCATTTATTATACAGCAAACTGCTACTCAGGTAAGCTTGGTCATTGAAATTGCTGCCATGAGTCTTCAGCTTCTCCCAGGAGCAGCAGTGGAGTGGGACTTTGTGATAACATCATCCTCCAGGGTGACCAGAAGAGGATAACGCCATTGAAAAACATCTTACTAGTTCTCTTTTCTTGAAATGTGTTTGCATGTTTTTGATGCAAATGTCATCCCATTGCTTTACTTCGAATTTCCAGAATTTGTTGGCGATGCTATTCTCAATCTAAAACCACCATCCCAAGATGTTACGTGATTTATTGTGGTGCCCAGAGTGGTCAAGCCAGCAAAATAATTTTCTTATGATAGGATTTCTCATCCATCTAAAAAAAACCCTCCAGGAACTAGAATATGCTATTTTTAGTATTGCAGTTTCAATAAAGCAGCCTTTGATAATAAGTAACCTTTACAAAGAATAAAATTCCATAAAGAAGCAGTCTAGAAATCTATAGATTGATTAATGTCTTTTAAAGCCCTTTATTATTTGTAAGAGGAGAATGATTTCTTCATAGAAGTGTTGAAAGGCTAAATTTGAAAGCTTGTGTGGCTACATTAGCAAATTATTTTTGCCTTACTTAAGGGGCAGTATGCTCCATTATTTTTGAAGGATTTCCAGGAAATAAAAAGCAGTATTGAATTTATCAGGCCCTTTGTTAAATATACTAAGCTTTATGAAAGGAAATATTGGAAAATTGCAAGCTTTTTCCTGATGGTGTCTATAATTGCAAAAAAATCTATTCTTTCTTTAAGAGAAATTTTTCATCACATGGTTCCTACCAGATTACTCTCAAAATCAGATATTTAAAGGTCATAGAAAAACTGTAATAACCCAGCAATGGCTGCTCTGGGCTCACTTTCTTCCCTGCTGTCTGTCATCTGATACTGGTGACTCTTTGCCTCCTTGAAACTATCCCTTCGGCTAGACTGCTGTGCTCTCTCCGAAAGAGAACTCAAAAACTTATGAGTCCACTTTCTAGTCCAACTTTACTATTGTCTCTCTTAAATTCCATTTCTTTATCTGTATCTTTCTTTTTTTTTTTTTTTTTTTTGGTACTGGGGTTCGAACTCACGACTGCGTGCTTGCAAAGCAGGCACTTATGCCACTGAGCTAAATCCCTGGCTTCTGTATCATTCTTATGCTGTTTGATTATTCCTTCCATCTTTAGCATGTGTGTTTCTGGAGCTGTCATTTATTCATTCATTGAACAGTACTGAGGATTGAACTCAAAGCCTTGACATGTTTTCTTTTTACACTAGGTCTCTTTATGTTGCTAAATTGAATAGGTTGGGCTTACCAATTCTCTAGCTTTGACAACTCTTACAAATGCCAGTGTCACACTGCCAGTCATATGGCAATACCTCATTTCTCTGTAGGATAAAGTCAGAACCTCTTTTCCCCCCAGCAAGGGCACTACCCCTGGGTCCCAGTCTCCTATTTCTGTGCTTTTTTCCATTCTTCCTTTCATAAGACGTGTCCTCCAAACCACACGGTTTTCTTTTTCTGGACAAAAAGTTTTGCTTACAAGACTCATACTGCCTGCTTATTTCCCAAATTCTTTTGATTCTTTAAAGTCCATCCTCAATTTGACCTCATTTAGAAGCTTCCTACATACCATTGGAAGATCTTGTCTTAGAATTGCTCATCTCCTATATTTGAGCAATTATAAGATGTATTTATTTTTCATATTTCAATATATTTGCATTCATGCTACAACCACTATTGGACATCTAACAGTCATGAGGCAGTTGTGTTTGCCTGGGTGTGCATCAAAACTGAAAAGTAAGTTTTTAGCAAAATGGAAGAAAATCTGGGAACTCTCAGTGGAACATTCCAGAATAGCTCTCAATAGCACAAAGGACAATACTAGGTATAACCATGATGTTGGCAATCCTGAGCCTAAAAGTGATTCAAGAGAGTCAAATTATAATAAGAAAAAGCTTTAAGAATTCCTTACCTAGTTTATTTCAAGTTTCCATGTAAAATAGTCTATGCCACACAATCACATGAAAAGAATTCTATATATAAATAGTGTTTCTGTAAGAGATCTTTCAGAATGATCTTTTCACGAGTATAAAACGACCATTTAAATGAAAGAAAGCATTCTACCATAACTTAATTGGCCTGTTCTTTTTGTTCCTAGCAGGCTATCACATAATTCTATGACATAAAAAATCAATAGTGTTTTAATTTGGTGAAATGCAGTATATCAGTGAGGTGATATATTTATCACAATGTCATGATGCCTCTGTGCCTTTATCTTATCAACTGGGTTAGAAACTCACTGAAGACAGAGTTATATGTTGGCCTAAGCCTTGTACACATAATAAATTTCAAGATTGTCTTAAATTATACATATACTTGATCTTTAAATAGAAATATATTAAATACCATTCTAAAATCAAAAATATGAGAAGTAGTACAGAGAAAATTCTGTTTCCCCACCATGCCCACATGTTAGTTAGCTTCCCATTATGGTAACAAATACCTGAGGCCATCAATCTAGTGAAAGAAAAGGTTTATTTTGGCTGGCAGTTTTGGAGGCTTCACACTCAGTCAGTATCATTACTTTTGGGCCTGCAGCAAGAAAGTGCTTTATGACAGGAGTACTGACAGAACAAAAGGTCCACCTTCTAGCAAGACAGGAGCCCTAACCCTAACCCTAACCCTATATTGTTTTCTCTTTTTTTTTTTTTTCCAGTCTTTTTGTTGGTTGGTAGAATTAAACCATAAATAAATCCCAGCATTCAGGTGGCTAGAGCAGAAGGATCACGACAAGTTCAATGCCTGCCTGGATTATGATTACCCAGTGAGATGCATCTCAAAAAACCAAAACCAAACAAACAAACAAACCCCAAACCATAAGTAAATAATAATGGTAGAGCGCATACCTTTCTGTGGAGATCACAGTGCTCCCCACTTGCTTATTACTGGCAGCTGCTCATGTTCTGGCTGCGGATCAGAAAGGCAGCGTGTGCACACCTGGGCAGGGCACCCTGGCTGGGTTTCAGGGGCCCTGAAGACCCTGACAGGTAGCGGACCCTTCCTTCCATCAGCACCTCCCAGATGGCTGTGGCCTCCAGAATGTGCAGCCACCCTGACCCACACCAGCCGCCTCTCCCATCGGTGCCCTGTGCGCAGCTCTCCTTCGAGTCCCCTGGCAGTTAGGAGTTTCATCTGAGACTCCACTCTGGAAAAGGCTGACTCCTGCCCCTGTTCTCAGAGGGACTTGGGGTCTCATAACTGCTGCTTCCTTCTTGCATTCAACTTGTTGAGTGATTGTTGATGTTTTTAATAGTCCTGCTGTTCTTTCCAAAAGCAAGGCTTTCCAATATCAGCCTTCCCGCTTCATTCCACCCAAGGACAGGAAGTAATCATAACTGCTGGCACTGTCCTGCCTCCTCAGGCTGAGAGCAAATAAAGCAATGTCTGGAAAACGACATGATTTAAAGTGGGCAGATTTATACTTGCACTGTGGCCTACACATCATTTTCAATTATCTCTCCTTTGACAGATTTAAAGTTGATACTAACTAGATAAATAAATCATCTTAAACTGTTTAGGTATTGGCTATCATCTTTGATGCCTTGTAATCCTATAGAAGGAAATCCCAAAGTCCATCAAAGGAGACGTGGAATAGCTTAGAGAACAGTGCCAAGAAGACAGTTCTCCCTTCCATCAGTCTGGACAACCTGTGTCATTCTGCCCAACAGGCTGCATTATAAACAAACTGTATAGCGCAGTCATATTTGCAAGGCTGTCTTAAGGCTTGAAAAGCTCATCCACAATATCATGCATTTTAAGGTCCTGAATGCTGCAATCTTCTAATATAACAACAATATTGCACTTGAGCCAGTTCTATGTACTTGGCCATGGCGTCAGATTCTGTGGCAGCCTTCATGATATGCTCTGAAACAAAAACTCATGGTTTTTTCAAAGCAGAGTAGAATGAGCGGGCTCATTTCTTTTGATCCTCCCTGGAGCAAACATAGTAATATTACAAGTTTGGAAATCATTAGTTTCTATCTATGCAAATTCAGGAATATAGGAACACCTGTCTTCATAGAATGCAATTGTGATGGAAACAGAACAACTCAGTTAGTTGAGATCCTGAATGGAGGCGAGGTGAAAGGGATGCTGAGGGGGAACTAGAATGGGAAGGCTTCTTCTCAGATGAATTCTCACGATTACCAGGGGGGCGGGGGGAGCGAATCTCAAGGAGGTTTCTGGTTCTCTGTTTAGAAACCTCAGGGGCTAAATTTTTAAATTTTGTACAAACTCTCAGATACCAGATGTGAGTTCTGGTACTGTGATACTAGCATTAGACCTCCTGTCCTCCTCTACCTCTTCCTCCTGCTTCTTTATTCCTCAAACTCTGACAAAAATGTTACTTGAAGGATTTGGTAAAACTTTTAACAATCTAGTTAATTATCTCTGTCACTTTCTTGTCGTTGAGAAATAACACCTGATACCCCCAGCTGAGAGGATGACTGTATTTTGGCTTGAGTTTCAGCCTGTA